GTGAGTTATAGGTCAGCCAGGGCTACACAGTGAGACTCTGTCAAAAAAATATTCTCTGTATCACATTACTTCTATATGCCCAGTGCCTAGAATAGCCTGTGTTTAAGAGGCTATTTACAATAAATATTGTAAATGACACCAAAATCACTTGAACAGCTGGGGCATCGAATGCCCTGTCTCCTTGCCTCCTAGGTCACTTAGACTTTGTCTCTGGTCCTCAATCTACTGTCCATACGTTCCAGTAATTCCTACTTGGAAAACCTCCAGTGTCCAAACCAGAAATTTCCAACCTCTCAAACTCCCAGAAATCACCTGGAAGCTTACTAAGGGATGGGTTGCTGTGATTTCCACTCCCAGATTCTCCCATCAGTAGGTCTGGAATGGGACCCAGAAATGATGTTTTAACAAAATCTTAGAGGATGCTGATGTTGCTGGTCCAGAGGATCACGTGACTTTGAAAACCACTGCAACAGATTCAACAGGTTCTCGAGAAGCGGTGCTGGGACGTCACCATCCATTCTGGTCTACTGAATGAAGTTCTCTATAGCTGGGGTAAGCAGGTATATTCCGCTTCACGGTTCCACTGGTAATCCTGGTTAAGACCGCAGTCTCAATGATTAAATCCCGGACCTGGACTTTACCTTCTTTTCAAATACGTTCCCCATCTCTTCACCTTGCTTCCAGTCCTAAGCAAACAGCCGGCAGTCGGACGACTTTCTAGACCTTTGCTCCCTCTCTGCTGGCCTCACATCAGTTCGAGTCACTTATTCATACGTGTGTTCGTTTGCTGAGTGACTAGCACAGGCCCTGCGGCATCCCTCATTCAGGGAGGAGTGCAGCAAATGCAAGTTCACAGTCTCACCCTCACTCATCCACCTCTTTGTCCACGTCCCCCAGCACCCTGTTCCTCCTTTCCTATCTCACAGGTAAAGACTGACTTAATGCTGTACTAACGTAGAGGAAAATGGTCTGACTTCGTATTTTGGTTCAGTCCGCATTTTTCAGATTAAATTGAAGTTTTTCCCCTGACCTAACTTTCCTTCCAAAAATCATCTCGAGGACACACTCTCCGATTCCTCCCTGACCTGCTCCAGCTCTCCTCGACACAGTTGGAACCGAGTTCGGCTCTCCACAAGCCTATTCTTCACCCTCACACAATTCTAACTCAATACTTAGTCCTTCACACCACTGTGCTTACAGACCTGTTATTAAAACCAAACTGTGCACTTCCCAGGGTAAAGATCATTCCATTTTCCCTTGATTAAGCTCTACTTCCCACAGAGCCTGACCTATAAAGGCACTTAAAGACGTTTGTCAAATTAATGAGTACATTTTGGTTTTCTGAGGGTTTTGTTCTGCTTTTTGGATACAAGGTCTCGCTACTCTTGAACTCTTTGGCTCATGTGAGCCTCCTGCTTCAGCCTTCCCCGTAGCAGAAGCTACAGGTTGGCAACATTACACATTATTTTGTAGTATTTTCTCAAAACTTCCGTGTGGAATGAAATCTCTTTAAGACTCTTCTATCTTTCCATAGTAAGGAAATACCCTAATTGAATTTCACACAGCATGGAATTTGCACAGTTCAGGATTTAGGGTAAAAATCTTGTCAAAAGTACAGTTCAAATCCTCCAAGAGGAAATGGTGTGACTTCTGGGTATCCTGCTTTTTTGTTGTTTTGTTTTTGTTGTTGATGATGGTGGTTTTTGAGAAAGGACTTTGCTATGCTGCCCAGAATGACCTCATACACAAGCCCACTGTTTTACCCTCCTGAGCGCTGAGATGACAGCCATGCGCCACCACACACACCACCACACCTGGAAACCGTTATCTTTTGACCCAGTATATTTGGACACCTTAGAGCCGTCTTAAATCTTCTATCCTGGGCAAGTCAATCACTCAGCCCTTTGGTGTTGCAGTTCCCTTATCTGCATGCTGAACAAAACACATAGTGAATAAACTGCACTAAGTTTTCTCAGCAAGCAGAGAGCTGTGTAATAAACTGAACTACATATTTTAAATTTATTTGAAAATGAAGTCAGATAGCCTCTCAGTAGGAAGGAATTCCTGGAAAAGAGATGGAACTTGTATGCTCAGAGCATCAAGCCATACACATAGTAGGCCCTCAATGAAGAAATAAAACAATTGATAACTGCCGTCACTTAAACCAAAAAGCACTGTCTATTCCCTTGAAGAATCAGCAGAGACTCATAGGCTGTGGGTCCCCCAGGGGCCATGATTCCACCTTGGGACACCCATGCCAAGTGTCTCCCACAGGGGAACACACCCTGTTTCCCAAGCTCAGCCTCTTTGCATTCAGGAAAATCCTCCTACCACACCTACCCAGGACCGTTAACCACACAGTTGATCGCTGGGTATAAACTGTGGTGTATCTTGTTAATAAACATCTTCTCACCAAGCCAGAAAGATTATAAATTCATTTCAGAAAGAATAGTTTTATTATATAAAATTAGTAGACGTTTAAGATCACCGTGCTTTGTGGCAGTTGTGTCTTCTCTGAAATACTGTTATCCATTTCCAATTACATGTGTTAGTA